GTACCACTGCACTCCAGCCTGGGCAACAGAGCAAGACCTTGTCTCAAAAAATATATATATATATATATAAAAAATACACATACGGACACACTGAATTAGAATCCTCAAATCTGTATTCTGCGAAAGTCCCATAGATTGACCAGGTGTGGTGGCTCACACCTGTAATCTCAGCACTTTGGGAGGCCAAGGCAAGCGGATCGCTTGAGGTCAGGAGTTCCGAGACCAGCCTGGCCAACACAGCAAAACCCTGTCTCTACTAAAAATACAGAAATAAGCCAGGTGTGGTGGTGTTGGGCACCTGTAATCCCAGCTACTCGGAAGGCTGAGGCAGAAGAGTTGCTTCAACCCAGGAGGCACAGGTTGTAGTGGGCTAAGACGGTGCCACTGCACTCCAGCCTGCTGGGCGACAGAACAAGACTTTGTCAAAGAAAAAAAAGGCCCATCGATTGTTCTGTGTACGGAGATAAGAAGCATGCAAACCTGCACAAAACAAAGCTTAGGGAGAAAAACGGGGTAAGAGTCCAGAGTAACAACTTGTACTCTGGCAGTATGCCTACTGACCCATGGTGGAGTGTGTAAAGGGTAGTCCATTTTTCATCCCCAAGGAAGCCTATCTGTTCTCCTTTGTTCCAATTTTTATATGAAATGATTTCACAAATGAAAAAGGCACTGAGGAGCTTGAGAAGACCCTGTCAGAAATAGGCAAGAAAAAAGAAGACATTGTGAAGCCATGAAATCCTAGTCAGCTATAGCTGGTACAGGAAGGTGAGGGAGAAGGACCAAAAAAACAAAGACGGGGGTTGTCTAACTGCCAGCACTGATGCGATAGCTACTTCCCATGTCTGAGTGTTTCTCTGTTGGATAAAATAGCAAACTTACCAAAAAAATGAAAACAAATGGTATGAGGCTACTTTCAAAATAAGAGAATAAAAGTATATAGTTTTAAAAATAAGATTCTGATTTAGATCTAGAGACATTCAGACTCCTTTCCTCTAAAGTCTGCAGAAAAATGGTTAAGCAATTTGTCAAAGAGAAACTTTGTCTTTTAATTCAGTCCCAAGAGAACCAGAACTCACTCACTCTTGCTGGCGGGCATTAATCTATTCATGATGGATCTGCACTGAGGACCCAAACACTTCCTACTAGGCCCTACCTCCCAACACCACATTGGGGATCAAATTTCAGTATGAGTTTTGGCAAGGACAAACCACATCCAAATCATAGCAGAAATAATGTATTCAAAATGTGACCCAACGAAGAGAATGAAAAGCCACAAACTGGGTGAAAAAATATTTGCAAAAGACATATCTGATAAAGGACTGTTATCCAAAATATACAATGAACTCAAAACAATTTAAAAAAAGATTTAAAAATTGGCACCAATCTGAACAGACACCTCATCAAAGAAGATATGCAGATAGCAAAATAAGCACATGAAAAAATACTCCACATCATACGTTATCAGGGAAATGCAACTTAAAACAACGAGATAGCACTGTACACCTATTAGAATGGCCCAAATCTGGAACACTGACAGCACATAATGCTGGTGAGGATGAGGAGTAACATGAATTCTTACTCATTGCTCAAGGAAATGAAAAATGGTACAGCCACTTTGAATTACAGTTTGAGTGTTTCTTAAAAAAAAAAAAAAAAAAAACCCAAACAGCAAAACATTTAACATATAATCCAGTAATCATGCTCCTTGGTATTTACCCAAAGGAGTTGAAAACTTATGTCCACAGAAAAACCTGTACACAGATGTTTATAGTAGCTTTATTTGTAATTGCCAAAACTTGGAAGCAACCAAGATGTCCTTCAGAAGGTCAATGGATAAACTGGTACATCCGGGCAATGGAGTATTTATTCAGCACTAAAAAGAAATGAGCTATTAAGCCAAGTTGTGGAAACTTAAATGCATATTATTAAGTGAAAGAAGCCAATCCAAAAAGGTTATATACTGTATGATTCCAACGATACAAGATTCTGGAAAAGGTAAAAATTATGGAGACAGTAAGAAGATCCGTGGCTGCCAGGAGTTAGAGGGAAAGGAGGAAGGGATGAATAAGCAGAGCTCAGAGGATTTTTAGGGCAATGAAACTACTCTGTATGATACAGTAGTGATGGACACAGGTCATTATACATTTGTCAAAACACACAGAATGTGCACCACCAGCGATGGACCCTAATATAAACTATGGCCTGTGGGTGATAATGATGTGTCCAAGTAGGTTCAACCACTCTGGTGGGGGATGTTGATGGCAGGGAAGACTGTGCATGTGTAAGGGCAGGGGGCATAAGGGAAAACTCTACATTTTCTTCACAATTTTTCTGTAAACCTGAAACTGTTCTATAAAAATAATAGTCTTAAAAAAGTCACCTCACCAATAAAGGGCAGGCAAAGGCAATAAAATGAATAATAATTAGGCTGTTTATAATCTATTTGTGTTCCAGGTGGGCTTTACTATGAGACTTTATCTGAGTAACTGCTTTACAAGAGTATAATATATCCTACTGATTTATGTACATCTAAAAGACATGAGGTTGATAATTTTTTAATTTGGCTGCTGCTTTGGGATTAAAAAAAAAAAACCAACACATTTCTTCTGTTATCTGCAAATAAGCACTTTATTATCAAATAGTTCAGCATCAGAACAAGAATTAATTCCAAAAGGGTTTTCTTTACATGATATTGTGACATACACAATAGAAGAATCTGACACTGTGTTCCATTCCAGTTTCTCTTTTGCAATTAGGTAATTTGTTTTGATCTAAAAAGTGTAAGTTTATCTCATTCTTGTTAATGCTGTCCATGAAATGTAAGTATCAGTTCCTTTTCAGCTAGTACTTTATAGTTACACTGGTGCCAGGTTAAGAGACCTATTTCATAGTGACATGAAAGTCAGCTACAAGAAAAACACATTGTCATTTTCATTTACAGAGGCAAATCCCTCTTAACACAAAGAAAAGCAAAGGACCTTATGTGATTATGTAAGGCAGATCAGCCCAGGAATTTCATTCAAAGATAATACTTCAGACTCCATAATCCCATGTGAGAAATTAATGAATGACTCCAAGTAAATAAAAAATTAAAATTAGCCCTTGGGCCTCTGACAATTTAATTGCCAAGGCATTTTGTGAATTCTAAATAATGCTCTAAATTAGCTACAATTTCTCAGAATGACATACCAGAAGAATATGAACCTCAATAATTACAGGCTGTTTTAAGTTTATTTTGTGCAAGTTATTCCATCCCCCAGTATTCCACAACGAAAGTTGTTCTCAGGACATACTGAAGATTTATTTATTTATTTATTTTATTTTATTTTTTTTTTTGAGACGGAGTTTCACTCTTGTTACCCAGGCTGGAGTGCAATGGCGCAATCTCGGCTCACCGCAACCTCCGCCTCCTGGGTTCAGGCAATTCTCCTGCCTCAGCCTCCCGAGTAGCTGGGACTACAGGCATGCGCCACCATGCCCAGCTGATTTTTTGTATTTTTAGTAGAGACGGGGTTTCACCATGTTGACCAGGATGGTCTCGATCTCTTGACCTCATGATCCACCCGCCTCGGCCTCCCAAAGTACTGGGATTACAGGTGTGAGCCACCATGCCTGGCCCATACTGAAGATTTATAATAAATTCAGTGCCTACTATATGCAAGGCACTGTGCTGAATGCTGAAAATGTGGTAAGGACAGCACTCTTTGTCAAGCTATGTATCTGGTATTAGCCAGCTGAATAATGGAACATTTGGGCCAGAATAGCGTATATTGAGACCAGGGTACCAAAGGTGTCCAACGTAAGTGACTCAAAAGAGGAATTGGTAAATAAGATTATTTCAATTTTTTTGTTCCTTGAACTTGGTCACATCTGATCAGAACATTCAATGCTTTCTACATAAACTCTGGATTTAGGCAGATGAAGACCACTCATCAACATCCTTCTTTTGACAGATACAAGTACTCAGCCAAATGTAGCTCATGATACATACTATTAATTAAAGAGAAGTGATTCATCTCTGGCTTTTGCAGGGGAAATGGAAAGGCTCAAAAACTCCTTTCCTGCAGATGGGATCAATTTTTAAAGGCTCCAACTCTGCTTGCTTTGCTGATAAAGTTCTTCAGGAGATCATGGTCCATTTCCGCAAAACCCGAAGTTTGTGTTACTACAGTCAGGTGGTTTATGCAAAACCTGAAGCAGAATTCTTCCAAATCCTAGGAACAACAACACAGATGGCTTAATAAATTCACATTTCCTAATTCAATGCAACACAGCATGAAAATTGCTAAAACAAGTTAGGCAAGGAAAAAGGATTTGATGGCCAAGTGGAGGAAATGATAGTATGGCAATACCTAAAGAATAGTCATAAAAAGTATAATACATATGAATCATCTATGCTTGTAAAAATTTAAATAACACAGAGTAACATTCAAGTTCCTCCACACTAACCTAGGCAAAGAATCTGACTTTTTCTTCCCAGAAATAGGCAAGTGAGTGTACAAATTCTTTGTACAGTATTCTAGTGACAGTATTTGTAACTGTTGGTTCCACTTTCAATATTTGTCAAAAGCCCTATAATTCCTCTTTTATATTTATATCAGGGTCTTTAAGTATGTCTGCCTATAGAGAATTGGTGGAAGAAAAAGGTAAGCCATAAAAAGCAGTAATGCTGGGAAATTGCTGCTCTGAAGTCATTAACAGGCCACTGGTTTTTCCCTTTATGAGACGACACAGGATGGGATGGATGGATTTGATCACACTACGTACGCCTTCAATAATCTCAGCTGGGAAAATGCTTTAAAGAAAACATTACTTCCAAGGCTCTGGCAAGAGACACCCGACAGATTAGTGTTTTCTGGCTTACTGTAATGCACTCTGGGCCAAAGATTAATGCTGTAGTAATTCTCTTAATTAGAACTATAACTTGAGAATCAGAATGAGGCTGACCAGATGCTTTTTGACCCTGAAGAAGTGAGGCCAGGCTGCTGAGACCTCCGATATGCCTCAAACCCTAGGTTACTTGGCCCAGGACAAAATACCACTAGGTGGTGGTCAATTTTTAAGTTTACTGTCCAAGCTACTGTAGGTAATTTATAAAAAAAAAAAAAGGAAGCTCCAAATACTTTTAAAGCAATTACATAGGCATATTACACATGACAGCCTTTTCTTCTAAATTATAGCAAATGGAAAAAATAGACAGAAAAAATAGCAATGCTGATAGCCTTGCCAATGTACATATAAACCTACAGTACATTTTCTTTTAATAAAAGAAAGAAACTGTACTAGGAAAATGTTTATTTCATGCCTGAGCATAGCTGGGCAGGCTGCTGTGCTACACCAGCAATGTGATGTCTCTGTCCCAGGTAAGCCCTCAGTGATAAACAGGGAAATTCACACACCCACTTGTTATCACAGCACACTACACGTAAAAATGTGCTTCACTGATACACGCTGACTATCCCAGGATCCATTTAAAATTATGTGCTGTTGGTTAAATTTTTAGAAATGACATTTTTGCCTATAGCCTATGAAAGGGAAGCCAGATAGAGATGCATCATCTCTTTGGCTGAACTCTACAGAGAGGAATGGAGAAATTCATACCTACACCACACACACAGTGTGTTTGGAATGAGGTGGCAGGGCAGTTTTACACCTCACAGATCTCAACAGCATCAGGAAAATTGCTAATTAATGGGAGAATGAAAGGACCCTAAAAAGTTATCACTTGGCTCCATGCTCCTTCATTTTTCTAGAATGGGATTTTCCCCTAAATATTAAATATGGACAGGACTTTGAAAGAGTTCCTGTGATTTTAAGAATTCAATAAATTGGCATAGGGTGGTACTGGTTATCAGGGAATTCTTTCCATATAAAACAAGGCCCTCATTATTGTTCAGTTAGAGAATGTAGCCTATTTTGAATGCTACCGCTCTATACAGCTTCATGTTCAAAACAGGGCCCTTTATTCTGTCCTGCAATCCAACCACATTCTCCTAGTTTGCTCATTCTCCTACAGGACTCTCATACTTCTCCCCATAAGCCTGACATCTCCCCTCTCATCCTCATCCTCATCCTCAGCTAACATGACTTCCTATTTCAGAGAACCAGAATCACTTGAAAAGAACCTCCACAAGCCTGTCCTACCACATCTCCTCGCCTATTACAGAGAGGCCTGTGGACACGATGTTCTCTGGATCAATGGTCCAACACCCTATATAAAGCAGGGCCCCTTGCTCTGTCACTGGATCCCACTGTTCCACCTACTCGAGGGCCGTGCTCTAGCAACTGTCCCCTGCATCACCAGCTTGTTCCACTCCACTGAGTGATTTGCACCATTAGACAACTTCCATTTCCTACATCTTAAAAAAGTAGTTTTACCTCAAATGCCTCCAAACCTCTTCCTCTTTTTAATCTTCATAATAAAATTCCCATGAAGAGCTGCCTCTATTCCCCACCTTCAATTCTTCTTACGTCCACGTTCCAATCAGACCTCCCACCTCACTACACTGAAATTGCTTGCCAAGGCCCCCCAGGCGTTCTCACTGCCAGACCCCACTCGTCAGTTCTCAGCTCTCCTGCAGACACGCCAGCAGCATCTGATGTGGTTTGGACTTCTTCCTTCCTGCTTCGCTTTCTTTGCCAGCTTCCAGGACATGGTCTGCTGGTTTCTCTCTTGCTTTACTGCTCACTCCTCTTCAATCTCCTTTGCTGGTGTCTCCTTATCTTCTCAACCTCCAAACACGGAGTGCCCAGGACTTAATCCTCAAACCTGTCACGTCACTGCATCACGGATTTGACTTCAGTACATTTCTCTCTGACTTCCAGGCTTGCGTATCCAATCTGCTTATTAAACATTTCCATTTGGATGTCTAATAGACATCACATACTTCTCATATTCAAAACCAAATTCCTGATATTTCCCCCAAAATGTTGCTTCTTTCTTCTCTATCTCAATAAATGCCAATTTCATCCTTACAGTTGTTGAGGCCCAGAACCTCCTAAGTCTTCTATTTTCTTTCCTCACATCGAATCCATCAGCACATCCTGTTGGCTCTACTTCCAAAATGTATTCAAAATCTAATCACTTTTTCCATCCCCATAGGTGATAACTTGGACCAATCCACCATCATCACTTACTGGATTATACAGTCTCCTAAGTACTCTCTTTCCCCAACACACACACACACACACACACACACACACACACACACACACACACCTTCCCAACTGGATTATACAGCCTCCTAAGTACCTTTTTTCCACTACACACACACACATGCACGCACACACTCTCTCTCTCTCTCTCTCTCTCTCTCTCTCTCTCTCTCTCTCTCTCTCTCTCTTCTCAACACAGCAGCCAGGAGGATTACTTTCAAATGCCCATCAGATCACATCTGCTCCTCTCCAAGCCCTGTGTTGGCCACTCCCCTTGGAACTCAGATTCCTGAAACTTGCATGTGCGCTCTGTGGGCCCTGTCTCCTCCCTCACATGCCACCATGCGCCTCCACTGCACCATCCCCTGCCTCATCAGCTACTTCCCTTCCCACTGTGCCATCCACACCAGTCTTGTTTTTCCCCAAACACGCCACCCACACCTCCTTCAAGTCTCTGCTCGAGTCACCTGCTCAGTGATGTCTTGCCTCCCTCACTACTCTATTTAAAATTTCCACTTTATCTCGGCATGGCAGTCCCTAGGCTGGCTTCCCCAGCTTACTTCTTTCCATATCACTTGTCACCATCTGACATACTTATATATCCTATTCATTTATTTATCACTCGTCTCCCCTAACCAGAAATTCCCACAGGGGCAGAGACTTTGGTCTGTTTTATTCATTTGCAGTACCCCAGTGCTTAGGGCAGTGCCAGGCCTGTCACAGGCACTCAGTGAATATTTGTTGAATCCATGCATAAATTCTCCTGATTTCAAAATACTGAGGACAATGGAGAATTGTAGTTAAACATGTGGTTTTAAAATGTGCCCAATCTTGGACTGCATTCCAGTTTTGCAATTTACTAGTTTACTGAGATTACTTAATCTCCCCAAGCTTCAGTTTCTTCATTTATAAATTGGATCTAATATAATAATGCCTATGTCCTATAAGGTTGTTTTGACATGTAAATGCAACATGAACTGTGCTTAGAATAAACCCTGGCTCATATTAATTATGTACTAAGTGGCAGTCCAGCATGAGGGATAGTAATTTGCTGAAAGAGCTCATTTCTTGCTTATTTGAGCCAGGCAGATCAAATATAGCACTGTTCTTTATTTACAAAAGCTTGTGTTTTACATTAAGTACATATACAGTATATTTTACTTGTAGTCTATTATACTAATTTAGGGCACAGCAATTAGCTGGACAGGCTGTAGTAAAACAGTGCGCCTCTATAGGCAAAACTGAACATCCATTACAGGAGTATTTAATGAGTCAGATGCCATCTTAGGCACTGGGGATATGGTTGTGAGTAAAACAAAGTGCCTGCCATGCCCCAAAGAGCTTACTTTCTAGAAAAACAAAGAGCTGGAACGTAGCCAGACAAATATTTCACATAAATAGAGAATATGAAAAAGTATTAAAAATGAAGCCTGATTCAAATGCAAACACCATGTGTCACCATCTTGACATCGGAGACGGCCCTCCATCACCATGGCTCATCACCATGACTCTAAAGCACAGACTAGGAAAAGTGCATGGATTTTGTTTGAGCATGAAACATGGTGTGTTGTAAGTGCCCAATATATTATTGCCTTGATATAAAACAAACATTCACCTGTGCTTTTAAATATCAATGTTTTGAGGTAGTAGTTTTTTTAAATGTTAAGTGAAAAAAAATAACCTAGACTTTAAATGTATTTACAAATACATAATGTGACACAAAACAAAAACTCAGAAGCTGTTATATGAAAATGCTAATTGTTCTCTGGTTGATAATTCATTACCCTCCTCATACTTTTTGTCTTTTATAAATTTTCCTTAATAAGCATAATATTATTTACATAAACAGAAAAAAAGTTATAACCTTTTATCTACTAAAATGTCTCTGTCTTTTGACGAAAGGAGAGGATATCCTTCTACCAAAAGGAAACTGACTCCAAGAAGTTATGGCCTGTTTCCTAAAGATTTGGTTCTAAAATCACTTTTCTTTCCTTTCTTTATTATCATAACAATACATGGTCACTGTAAAAGTTCAAAAAAATAAGCAAAGAGAAGGAAATAAAAATCCTCCATAATTCCACATTCAAAGATAACCACTAACCATAGTCTTCAGTCTTTTTTTCTATGTAGATAATGAATTTTAGTTTTTTATTCAGCTATTTATACTTTTGTAAAAAACACAAATTGGATCGTAGTTTTTCGCTTAGTGATATATCTTGAATGGCTGCATAATTTCTTGGTATTAACATTTTATAAACAAGCCTCCACTATTCACACTAACCTTTCACTAATTTTTCAAAATTATAAATTGCTGCAGTAAATACCTTTGAAGCTGAGTCTTTGTCCAAATCCATGATTACTTCCTCAAGGTAAATACTTATGAGTGAATTCTGAAATAATTATGCCTTTAAGGCATTTAATACATATTATACCAGTTGTTCTCCATACCAATTTGTACCTCCCCAGCAGTTTAGGAGAATACTATTATTCTGATCCTATATATTATCTCTAAAAATATACTCCTGCTTTGACAGGCAAAAAGTTATACCTTGTTTCATTTATGTTTTTTGTCTGTTCATAGAATCATTTGTTCTTTGGTCCATTTCTTTCAACTAAACTGTTCATATTCTCTTTTTGTTATTTACCCTGGTAAACAGGCTTCATTATATGTTGCAAATATTTTTCCCAGTGTCTTATTACTTTCTAATTTTCTCTATGGTATTTTTAGGTGGATAAAAGGTTTCCTATCTTTTGAAACCAGAGCTATAAATCCTTTCCTTTATACTTCTGCCTTTGAGGTCTACCCTAAGGTTATAGAAATACTCACTTATATGTTGTCTAGTCCTCTGGTTACTTCATATTTTCTTTAATGTTAAATCTTTTACTCAAGACTTTGTTTTAGTTTAAGTGAGGCAGACACCTCGCTTCAGATTCTCCAGGAGGCCGGCAGCTGGAAGCAAGCTCTCCTTACCTGGGCATCATACTTCACCGCAGCCGAGAGCAGAGCGATGGCGTTCTCCTCGCAGATGCCTTGCTTGATAGTTTGTTGGCAGAGCTTTTTCAAACGATTTTCTCTATAAAATGTCGCCAAGTCTAGCAGTCCTGGTGGAAAGAAGTGTTTATCACAGGGAGTAATTTTGAGCATCTTGATTTAAACTCACTCACTCAGCCACTCACAGATGATTTTGACACTATTTTGGATGTAGTCCTCAGTGAAGCACTGCACAAATAGACTGATGCTGACCGACACTTTCACTTCAGTGTGGGGCTCTACCCAGGACGGCAGCCAAGCTGAGCAAATACGACACACAAATCATTAGTGGTTGAAAAACAGGAGCACAGCTTTAATATTTTATTTTTAATATTTTTTCCTAGAAAAAAAGGCAAGTGCTCCTCGAGTGACCCCTTCCCCTACAATCTCAATGTCAGCTTCTCCTGGGCCATTCCCAGGAGCACACACACACATGCTATAAGAGTGTCCACCATGAAAAAAAGGAAAGAAGAGAAAGAAAGAGAAAAGACATGGAAAGGAAACCCTTTCATGGATATGTGTCTGCTTCCTGTTACCCTATCCCATTTCTCTGATCCTCTCTATAGCAAAACTCCTAGACAGAGCTGTCTGTATTTGCTGTCTCCGTTTTCCAACCTCCCATTCAGACCTCAAGCCATTCAAAGCAGAACCCCATCCCCATCACTATTGCAGTCACACCTGTGGCAGTCACACCTGTGGCGGTCACACCTGTGGCAGTCACAACGGCTTCCAGGGTGCCATATTCTCTGGTTTCCTCGTACTCAACATTGGCACAGAATTTGATATAGTTGATAATGCTCTCCTTAGGACACTTTGTCACTTGCTTGCATTTTTCTTTTCTTCAATTAGTTGCTCCTCAGTTCTCCTGGCTGGACCATTTTTCCTGACTTCCAAATGTTTGAGTGACCCAGGGTTAAATCCTCAGATACTTTTCTCACTTACTTCCCAGAACTCCAGCCCCAGGGTTTTAAATACAATCTATATATGCAGGTGAGTCCTGTTATATTACCTATCACCTATTTTCAAGTAATTCAACATAGACTGGGTGAAGTGACATATGTAAATTAATTTTAATTAACCTCAAGGAATGATACAAAATACTCTGAAGCAGTCAGTTGGCATCTGAAAGATCCTATTAGTTTTTCTGAATCTTCACTGGAAGATTTGCAATTAGAATAAAGAATGTCAGAATTAGTTTGTCATTGGTGAAATGAGTGGTAGCCAGGATCAAAAGGTTAGCTGAATCCGGCTACTAGAATATTGTCATGTGCACCTCAAGCTAACTTTTCATGAAAGGTACTTAACAGAGTGTATAAAGACAGAGAGCTGAGGTTTCAGCATATTAATTAATTACCACATTAATTGTTTTTGTGTCTATCTGCTAATAAATCTTGTACTTGTGGTAGAATTTGGTTGGAAACTTGCTTTTTAGTGTAAGAAATATTATCAAAGTTATAGAGGAAAGACAGATAGCTCATTGGAGGACACTGAAATCTTCTGAAATCTTGAGAGTTGTGAATGGCTTCACTGTTTTTGGCCCCAAGCTTCAGACTCACACAAGCCAGCAGCATTGCCCTAAGAGAGGACTCTGCCCCAAACCCCAGCTCTGCACCTCCTCCACACACACCCTCAGCACAGGGTGGCAAGGAGACACATGCCCACTTCTAGATCACACTTTGGGTACCTGGGAACCTGGTACTGCCTGCATAATTAGCCCTGAGGCCATATGTGTGGGTATTTCCTCCCTTAGTGCCCACCACCAATATGCAGACCCCCTGACCCAAAAGGGTAACCTGGGTTGGGGGTGGGTAGAGCTTGCACATGCAAGCTAGGGTACCCACACACCCTTCTGCTGGAGGAGGGGTCTGTCCTGCCTGTGCCACTGGGCTCTGGCACACAACTCCAGGCGTTCCGCAACTCTAAATGCCAACTAAAACTGAAATGTGTCCTTTTGGTTCTTAATGAAATTAACATTTTTCAAGGTAGGAGGATTTAACATTTTATCTGAAGTTCATGAGCTTGACATATAACTTTAAATTTTTCTCTATGGTATTTTTAGATGGATAAGTTTATCTTTTGAAACCAGAGCTATAAATCCTGTCCTTTATGGCTTCTGCCTTTGATGTCCACCCCAAGTTATAGAAATACTCGCTTATATGTTGTCTAGTACTGTGGTTACTTCCTTTTTTTAACACATTAACTCTTTTCTCTACTCTGACTTTATTTTAGTTTAGGGTATGGGGCAGATGCCTTGCTTCAGGTGGAGCCCACCTGAAAACAATGAAGCCATATGGAACATAGGTCTCCATGTGGAGTCTTGGCCAGAGCCCTGCAAATTTTAGGGGTGGGCCTATAAAAAATTGCCACTTGGGTATCTAATGGGCAGCTGAAACTCCTTTGACTTTCAAAGTCAAGAGCAAGCCTGTTCTCCATCTTCCTCATCTTAGTGAACAGGACTTCCATTAAGAAGTTACCCAGGCCAAGCACCTCAGTGCAGCTGTCCTTCTCTCTCAAGTCACACCTCTCATCCCATCCATCAACAAATCCCATCAGCAACATCTTTAAAATATATCTACAATCTGATCTCTTTTCAACACTTCCACTGATACACAGCCCCAACCCAGGAGTCCATCATCTCACATCTGAACCAATATAATAACTGATCTTTTAAACACAAATCATATCTCTCCTGTGGCAGAAGCTGCTGGGTGCCTGTCCCATGACCCCTACCCCCCCACACACACACATACACACACACATACACATACACACACACACACATGCACACACACACACACACACACACACACACATACACTCTCTCTCTCTCTCTCTCTCTCTCACACACACACATCCATTCTTCCTTTCTTCTGAAACCATGTAATTTTTAGCTGACCTATGGCCATCTGGAAATGTCCACTTTCCCAGCCTCCTAAGTTGCTGGGCACAGACTTCATTGACTTGGTCCATGGTCTGAAATAAGTGGAGCTCCCAGGCCCCTCCTGGTAGAGACGCTGGGATTTGCTGTGTGCCCCTGGTCTCTGTCCCTTCCTCCATGCTGCTGCCCGCAATGCTCCGCAGTGGTGATGACTCGGTACTTCTGTCTCTTACCTGTCCCGTCAGCCTTTGTATGAAGTCGTAACAAGGGAAACATGTTTGGATTCAACACACACAAAAAGAAATACTTACATAATTACCCTCACAGCAACTTTCTTTTAGGTTCTATAGAAACCACCTTCTCAGTTCCTCAACATTTTGCCAAGTTTTCCTAAGTCTTTGGCAATTACCTACTGCCTCCTCAGGAGAAAGGCTGATGCTGTCTGTGTACAGGTATTCCAGGAAGGCCCGGTAAACAGGATATGAAAATTCACTCATTTCTACAATATCATCCTCGTTATCTTCCAACGACGAACGAAAATGCTCACATCTGAAGGAAGAAAACAGCATGTCAGGTCCTTCCCAGCCAGGACAGACGGCCTCTGTGAGGAGCACGTCCTTCTCTCAAAGGTGCACACTGGTCCGTCCCTGCTGTGGATCTTCACTCTCCTTGCTGGCCTGAGTTTTCAAACAATCATTTATTCAGGTATATGCAAACCCGCTGCCATGGTGGCCCGGGAAGCAGCCCCGGTGGCCACGCTGCTGGGGACAGAGCTGGGCTCCCCAGCATCTCTCTCACACCACATTCACTAATTAGCATTTAGAGAAATCAGTGGGTTTATTTTTATAAAATCTGAGTGATTCTGTTTCCTCACTCCATTATGAGTTGAATGATGTCATCTAAAAATTCATATGTTGAAGTCCTAAAACGGCCAATACCTCAAAATGTGATCTTATGGGGAGAGAGAGTCTTTAAAGAGGTAATCAAGTTATTAGGAGGTCACTAGTGTGGGCCCTAATCCAATGTGACTGGCATCCTTATAAAAAGGGGAACTTTGGACCAGGCACGGTGGCTTATGCCTGTAATATCAGCACTTTGGAAGGCTGGTGGGTAGATCATGAGGTCAGGAATTTAAGACAAGCCTGGCCAACATGATGAAACCCCGTCTCCACTAAAAACACAAAAATTAGCTGGGTGAGGTGGTGGGTGCCTGTAATCCCAGCTACTCAGGAGGCTGAGACAAGTGAATAGCTTGAACCTAGGAGGCGGAGGTTGTAATGAGCCAAGATGGCGGCCACTGCACTCCAGCCTGGGCAACAGAGCAAGACTATGCCATCTCAAAAAAAATCGAGGGGTGGTGTAAATTTGGACACAGACATGCACAAAGGGAGAATGCCACATGCTGACTGGAGTTAAGCAGCCACATGGCAAGGAAGGCCAAAGACTGTCGGCAAAGCCCCGGCAGCCAGGAAAAAGCCCGGTACAGATTCTCGCTCACAGCCTCACAAGGGACCCATGCCGCTGACACTTTTGATCTGGGACTTCCAGCCTCCAGAACTTTATGTTGCTTAAGCCACCCAGCCTGTAGTACTTTGTTACAGCAAATCACTCCACCTGCCTTCCTTCATGCAGGTTGATGTGATGTAGTGAGAGTGAACAAACGTTGACAGCTTGACCTTACTAAAGGGGAACTTGAGACTAAAATGCTGCGTTGAGTTTGTGACTCATTGCGGTAGGATTTAAATATCTGTTACACAACAACATCATGAATTTCAAAATCATCATGTAAGAGAAAGAAGCCAGGCACAAACGAATGCATCCCGTTTCATCCAATCTATGTATGTTCTAGAAAATGCTAACTAATCTACAGTGACAGAAGGTGCCATGGTTGCCCAGGGCTAGAACATGAGGGGTCTTTGTGGGGTGATGGGAATGTTCTCTATCTGGATGTGGGGCCGTGGTTTCACAGGCGAGTGCATGTGTCAGCACTCATCAAACTACACACCTGAAACGCATACAGCTCATTGCTCAGAAACGTTCACAAATGTGATTTTTAAAATGTCCATGCTAGCCTCACCACAGCCCCTTTTGGTCTGGAAAGACCTTGATCTTCTCTTTTATAAAGCATCTAAAAGTTCAGTATCCCACAAGTGATTAAAGAAAGTGATTATCATGAGCTGATCTTGATTCCCAGGCAGAGAGGGTAACTGATGGACGTCCAAGTATCTATACAGTGTTCAGAGCACTGGACACACTTGCAGTGTGTGCTGGCTGCTCCCTGCTGCCAAGGTGACCAATCCACTTTTCAAGCCTAAGGAACGCCGATGGTACCGATTCCCCGAACCACACACAACCTGTGTTATTTCTTGTTTCACACATGTTTCCTCCGGCTCCACTCTATGCTTGTAAGGGCAAAAACAGCTTACATTTTTTCATTATTACTAAGGTGCAAAATATAGTTGTTGAATGAATGATTTTTCTCAACTCTCAAAATAAATGATTCCTTACCGAATCTTGAGAAGGACTTTATGTGCATAAATGTACTTTCCATCCACCAGAAACTTCAGGTCTGCAGTGTCGGGGTTGTCAAATTCCCTCTTCAGCGACTCAGCCACTGTGAGGTGGTCATCAGGTTCTAAGAGAATAATGCAAATGCTTCCAGAGTTAGCACAGACATAATGAACCTGCAGGCCTGGATATGGCACTGCTCTACGGATGTTCATGAAAATACCACTTCCTCAAAATAACTGAGCAATTGAGCAATGGGGTTTTTCCCCTAAAGACAGATTTGCATCTCTGTTATCATTAAGGATAAGAATCCCACACACATCTGCTTATAAATCTGGCAAAATAACAAGAAAAAGTCCCAAGCCACATCACGAATTTTGAATGAAATTTTAGAATGTTTGAGTAAATATGCTAGCTAAAGTAAAAGACACAGTTTCTTGGTAAAATTTAAAAGGAGTAAAATAAGGGCAGGGCACAGTGGCTCACACCTGTGATCCCAACACTTTGCGGGGTGGAGACAGAAAGATGGCTTGAGGCCCATAGTTCAAGACCAGCCTGGGCAGCACAGCGAGACCCCACCTCCACAGAAATTTAGTATTGATGTTGGTTTCTGATGTTTTTAAGAAAATAAATTTTTTTCTCTTTTGCAGAAGCCCATCAGAGAGAAATAAATTATGATAGTGCACCTAACAAAATCCTCACTATCAAAGTAAAAGCCCTGAGTTCTTTTTCAGATTTTCGGGCCATCCCCCAATGGACAGTGACCAGCTCACCCACGGAGAGGAGGCGCCACGTGACGGCGGGAGTGGCAAAGCAGGCAAACACGTCGTCGGTGCAGGAGAAGTGGGTGAGGTGCGGGAGGATCACGGACTGGCCCCGGCACTGGCCCCACATGTACACGTGCCCACCCTGCGTCTTGGCCGCAGACGTATGGGTGGAGTGACAGGCTGCAATCTCGATAATCCTAAATTCACAAACACATACCACATAAGCACAGTGATCAGGGGCAGAAACAAGCTGTACCTTCCTCCCCCCAGGTTTAACAGATGTGGTATATCATAAAATTAAATTTACAAAAAGGGTCAGGAAAAGAAAAAAAAAAAAAAACACCACATGACTCATACATTTCATCTTCGAATTTTCAGGCACAAAACCTTTATTTACATTTAAGCCACACTTCAATGGTACAGTACTTATAACTCATGAAGATCTGTTTGTAGCACTTCCAGCCAGTAGGCCTATAAAAATATAAGCCATCCTGTTTTGAAATTCAAGTATAACCCAAGAGAGTAGTGTTCCCCCCACCAAAAAATGGTGACTTAATTTTTTTTTACCCCACAATATTACTTGCCGAAGAAAATAATAAACATTTCGGCCATCTGGACCAAGGGCCAATAAATAAATATTTCAATGAAGATTTCACTGTAAATGGATTTTTAGCATGATATGGGTCCTAACAACTCCTACTACACAGAGTAAATTCAAGTAGTTCTCCCACACTGGACTGTGTGATCTGGAACTCAGGAGAGCAGTTTTCTAGGATCACCATGTGATAGACTCTACTGCTTTAAGTTCATGACTGATGGGGAAGTAGTTCTCAGAACATTGTTTTTTGTCTTTGAGACAGAGGAATCTCACCCTGTCATCCAGGCTGAAGTGCAGTGGCATTATCTTGGCTCTTTGCAACCTCTGCCTCCAGGGCTCAAGCAATCCTCCTACCTCAGCCTCCATAGTAGCTGGGACTACAGGTGCAAGACATCACACCTGGTTAATTTTTGTATTTTTTGTAGAGAAGCTTTCGCCATGTTGTCCAGGTTGCTCTTGAAGTCCTGAGCTCAAGTGATCCGCCCACCTTGGCCTCCCAAAGTGCTGGGATTACAGGTGTGAGCCACTAGGCCCCGCCTCAGAACACTTCTTAAAGGAAAACATTGTCTTCTTAATTTGGAAGTAATTTATTTTCTATCAGAATAAGCCACCATATACTTAAAGAAAAATGATAAATGCTTTTAACCCAGGGGAAGTCCCCATCTTTGTTTTACTACAGCAGACAATGGTATCAGCATCCTCAGAGACTTAGGCCCAGAACCTCAGTGTCATCTCTGACTTCTCCCTCCTCATTTACTACATCCTTCAGAATATCCAGCTAAAAAACAAAGATGCTTTCTTTGTACCGTCTGCCCTCAGCCACCACTGGGGGGTCAGGCACACCCTGCATCTGGCCCTGGTCACAGCCTCGCAGGTCTCCCTTGCCTTAGACTCTCTCCTCTGCCCCAACTCACAGAGTGCTGGCAAGTTAACCATCCTCCTAGAACACCGTTCTCATCAGACCTCTCACTCGGGCAGTGGTTTCCCTCAGACAAAATTCTGACACAGACATAACTGCATCCATGATTTGGCATCACCTCTGGACAGCCAGCTCTCAAGTCACTTTTGTCTACACACCCTATGTTCCAGCAAACAGGCTTTCTCATTGCCCTTCAATGTCTTCATACATGGTTGTTCGGGAATGTTCTTTCTCTCTGCCTTAAAAACCCTACCCATCTTGTAAGGCGCAGTTCAAACTGCCCCGAGGTTGAGGTCTCCCCCTCACCTGAGCTTCTGCAGCCCTTCCTGTCCACACCACTCCAGCCTGGCCCTGTTACTGTTCCATGCATCTGTTTCATCTGTTCAGTGAGATGGCCAGGTCCTGGCAGGCCAGAATCACTGACTTAATTCTCTCTAAGCACGTAACATGGTGTCTGTCTTACTGAACATAATTTGTGGGTGACTTTACTAACTGAGGAAGACTCAACAGCACAGAACAAAGGAGAGGTGTGTAAGACCCCACTGGCATGGGCTAGCACCTGAAGGGTGAGGATGATCCTTCACTGCCTCCTTTAGGCAGCTGCTCCCAATTCAGGAGGGAGGCATCATCACAGAACCTGGAGCTTGTGCCGGCTCGCCTCAGAGAGTGAGACATGCATGCTGTTGTCATGTGCAGCAATTTCACTGACTTATTAGAGGATCGCTCTTAGCTCTTGAAAACCACCCACAAATACTAGAGGAAAACAGGCTGCAATGGCCCACAGTAGACAGCTCAGGATTTGGAGTCAAGCAAACTTAGGTTGGTTGGTTGGTTGATTTATCTTATAATTTCAGCTCAAAGGAAAACAAAACCTAGGTTTGAATGCCCGCTCTACCACTATGCTGCGTTACTAGGGGAATGTCACTTAGACCCTAGGAGCCTTGGTTTCATCAAGTTGCATCAAGTTGCAGGTGTGAAAATCGAATGATCAAACGTTTAATGCCAACCAGCTACCATGTCTATGTGCAAATGGTTGCATGACAATAGAGGTTTCTCTATGTGAGGATGACTACTCAGCATTTTAAGTGGCAAATTGGCTTTTTCAGTGATCAAGTCAGGTTAGTAAGACCTTCCCTAGAAGAGTCGTTTCCTGCTATTTGCAGGGTTAGGCCAGTCCATTGGCCTAATCCAGTGCTGTGCAAAAGAACCATGCCAGATGGGGAAAATGGCTAGTAATATTTGGCTTCTCAATCAGCACATTCTTTCCAACAAATAAAGAAAATGGGAGAAAGAAACAGAATAAATTTACCCAAAGAGAAGTACATGTACTGTTACCACTGATTTTACTGGTAAGCCTCCTAAGTTACAAGCAGACGTGAGGGTAGGGACACGGTTTGTCTCCATGGCCTGGTGCTGTGGGCAGGACACGGGGCTCAGAGTCACAGGGTAGTTCTAGGGCCATGTTACTTAAACTCTTATAAACAGCTTTACCATCATCTTTAAAAAAAAAATAGGTGAGGGGGAACAGGATACAGGCGGCAATTCTCTGTGGTTTCGCATACATGAAACAAGTTCCCGGCAGAGCTGAGAAGTGAAGGCTTCTTGCCGTGACTAAAAGTGTTTAACCGGCTCCTTAAGGAACTGTGAGCCCGCCCTGAGGAACTCATGATTCAGCTGGAGAGAGAAGTCCAGATCTGTGACTTTGCAAATAATTCCCAAATAACATCAGTATGCCCTGACTACAAGTACTGTGTTGAGTAAGGAAAAACACCTGGGGGCTTCTCAGGGGAATATTTCCAAGTAAAAGGGAGTAACTGGGCCATGAATGCTTTGGATTGGCCAGAGCCCTGGAATAAGAGCCTATGAGGCAGAAAGAAACGCAGGAGCAAATGTGCAGAGCTGGAAACAGCAGGATGGCAGAGAGTGGCATCATACGAGGCCTGACAAGGACGGAGGCCAACGCTGGGATCAGAGGGCAACGAGGCTTGCCAGGAACAGTGGGATCAGCTTTAATCCAGAGCCAAAGAGCTCTGATAGGATCTGACGTGATAGGCAAATGGGAAACAGCTTTGTTAACAGGGCCATGAGGTGAGGAAATGGTATTCTCAGAAAGAATGGCCTGGCCACAGTGTGCAAGACAGGCTGCAAGGGAGAGAAAGAACAATCTGGAAGGCTGGCCAGGGAGGCCAATGCAGGCTAGGATGACAAGGAGTGATGAGGGTGGCCTGGGTGTCAATGCAGGGGAGGGAGAGGAGCGGAAGGTCTAAGAAAGTCTAAGAAAAGTCTGGGAAGTCTAAGAAAACCCCCAGCCGGCAGTGCTGAGGGAGGCTGAGGCCGCACTGGTCAGGTGGCGAGTGTGGGGGCCGATGTACGGACAGCTGAGCCACTAATAAAAGGAAAAAAAGCCTTCGGTGTTTTAACCACCTCCATTGTAAAGCCATCTGGTATTCTCAGGGAGCAGGGGAGGTGAGGGCAGCCCAACGAACAACGTTGAGATAAGCATTCATGAACTGCTCTTCCTTTCTTCAGTTATCAGCACTTCTGCAGTGACCTGCTAGGCAAAGACGTCTACATTTTTTGAATCGTTTCTGTGTACTTTGGGGTAATGTTCTGTGAAAAATGTCAGTGACTGAAGCATCACAACATCCTTCACTGATCTCCCCAACGTCAGAAAAGCCAAATCATGCAGTTCCTATGTTCCCTTCTGAGATAGTTGTTATTTGTTATTATTAGCATCCATGAAACGGGGTAGCCTCTGCCCCTAGAGCAGCTGGTGACCTGAAGTGGGAGACTTCTTTCTAGAGAAGGGCTGGGACAGAGCCAAAGGGTGGGTCAGGGAAGGCCGTGTGATGCTGGCCATCACCGGGCATGGCCTTGTGACATTTACCTGGCACACCCAGCTCCACATGGGAAGTCAGGGGTGGGGCGCAGGCTTGGCTGGCTGCAGTAGCTGCTACAGGAATGAGCGTGGAGAAAGTTTAGAAGAAACCTTCAGGTCTAGGCTTGCAACCCAAGCAAGCACTAAGGAACCCTGCCATTACCTAAGGTCATCAGTTTTTAAACTGATACCAAGCAGCAAACGTTGACCTTCCAATTTTCCAGTCAGACATGCAACAGACAATGACTATCAACTGAGCTAACCGCTCACTGCTGGGGTGTCGGGCATGTTTCATACTTTATTTTGTAGCCAATCTTAATGGGAAAGAAAATCACTACATGTTGGTAATAAACAGGTTTTGTGTCACCTCAAGGGAATAATCCACAACAACCACTGAGCTAACTGGTTACGAAGCACTAGAAATGAGAAAGTAGAGAGGCTGGGTGCGGTGGCTCACGCTTGTAATCCCAGCATTTTGGGATACCAAGGTGGGTGCTTCACAAGATCAGGAGTTCAAGACCAGCCTAGCCAACATGGAGAAATCCCATCTCTACTAAAAAAAAGAAAAATTAGCAGGGCGTGGTGGCACATGCCCGTAATCCCAGCTACTCAGGAGGTTGAGGCAGGAGAATCACTTGAACCCAGGAGGCGGAGGTTGCGGTGAGCCAAGATTGCGCCATTGCACTCCATTGCACTCCAGCCAGGGTGACAAGAATGAAACTCTACCTCAAAAAAAAAAAAAAAAAAAAAGAAGAAGAAGAAGAAGAAAAGAAAAGAAAAGAAAATGAGAGTGAGAAAAAATAGAAACCAGAAAACCTCGAGGAGGGGAGAAAGGTCATCTGTGAGGGAGAAGAATATTTGAAGAGAAACAACAAGGATGACAGATCCGCAGCGGGGATTCCCAATCTTGGTTTTGTCAGAGCCCAAGTATTGTACTGACTACCTCAAAAGTTGAAGAATTGTCAGAAATTAAAGGCAAAGTTAGTTTTATATCAGTTTAATTTAAAATACGCTGCTAGGGAACACTAAGAACAAAGATGCAAATATTGGGCAATTTGCCCCAAGGAACTGAAACTTCAGAAAAATTGGGGATGACTGAGTTAGGGAGAAGACAACCATTTTAAGCATTAAATTTACTTTTATGCAAACATAAATTGCTGACAAATATCAGTATTCTTCATCATAAATAAAATCTTTTTCTGGGGAAGATTTAAAAGGTTTCCCCTTGGATGGATGGTTGTTCCAGCAAAGAAAACAACGTAGACAGATTTTTCCTTCCCACTTCTGTGAACAGGTAACTGAGAACTGAAACCCATCCCACCCGCATTCAATCCAGTTCCTAATTAGTCAGGCTTTCCTGTAATGGGCCTCAGAAGAGTAAGAAGTAAGGCTCCAGGGTTCCCGAGGGATAAGTTATGACATATACTTGAGTTTCCTGTCAGTGGAAAGGGTGGAGAAGTGCAGAACAAGTCCTAGCACGGACCTGTCAGCCCTTCCCTCACAATACGCCCGTGATGGAGTGCCCGGTTGAAAATGTGTAAGTTCAAAATTACCACTTGAAATTCAAGCATGGAAAACCGAGAAAATCAGGAACATCTCGTTTAAAACATTCATCCATTTTTTTTTTTTTTTTTTTTGAGACAGAGCCTTACTCTATTGCCCAGGCTGGAGTGCAGTGTCACAATCTCACTGCAACCTCTGCTTCCCAGGGTCAAGAGATTCTCCTGTCTCAGCCTCCCAAGTGGCTGGGGTTACAGGTATGTGCCACCACACCCAACTAATTTTTTTATTTTTAGTAGAGATGAGGTTTCACCATGTTGGCCAGGTAGGTCTCAAACTTCTGACCTCAAGTGATCTGCCTACCTCAGCCTCCCAAAGTGCTGGGATTAAAGGCGTGAGCATGCAGCCCATCCATAATTTTTATAGCCAAATTATAATTCAAAAATAACTGTAGTTTAAGACAAAAGCAATAGATAACTCTCAATGCCCAGTTAAGCAACTTGGCACTCACATAGCTTCCATTCCCATTATCTGCTTCTCTGCTGCTTTTTCTTTCTCCCACCTGATGCCCCACAATCCATCTGCCAATAAGAACCTGAGTCAGAAGCCCTAGGTGATCATTCTGGATCAGGGACCAGCAGTGCAAGGCAGCAAGTCACTGATGGGGAATAATGGCAGATTCCGTGAGACCAGGGACAGATGTCCTAAAGTTCTGAGTAAGTGTGGGAGCACCATGAAAGTAATGCGCCAGGCCAGGCACAGTGGCTCACACCTGTAATCCCAACACTTTGGGAGGCTGAGGCAAGAGGATCGCTTGAGCCCAGGGGTTACCAGCCTGGGCAACATGGCAAAACCTTGGCCCTACAAAAAACACAAAAAATTAGCTAGGCATGGTGGCACGCTCCTGTAGTCCCAGCTATTCGGGAGGCTGAGGTGGGAGGATTGCCTGAGCTTGGGAAGTCAATACTATAGTGAGCCGTGATGGAACCACCTCAGCCTGGACGACAGGGAGACTGTGTCTCAAAAAATAAAAATACAAAAAATAACGAGCCCATACAAATCAATCGTTTTTATGTCCATGCTATCTTTACTTGATCCTTTAACTCTGTTTTTCAGTTTAAATATTAAGTATCCCTACCAACTGAGGCATTTTGTGGTTATTCAAAGCCTCAGGACTGTCCCTTCTCTTCTGAGAAGCTCTAAGCCACCTTACAAGATGTGCGGAGGAACAGCTGCAGGCATCTGCCTGCACCATGTCCTGCCTCCATTATTGCCTCTCCTCCCAATTCTGAAGGGGCCAGGGGTCTTATTTTAAGGTTTTCGGAGAAAAATGTTGTATTTAACCTATAAAATTAGCCTATGTTAAATCAGTTAAATAAAACTTTTAAAACATAGGTTAAAGAAAGTTTGCCATGTACCCCAAAACCTAAAATGCAATAAAATAAAATTAAAAAAAAGAAAGTTAGCTAAGTTCACAATACTCAAATGAAAACTGAGGCAGTTGAAAAATGACAATTTGGTTCTTCATCTTCATTATTAAGTAGTCCAACAAAAAGTTAGAAAAGAACTGCATATAAGTACAAGTGAATCTGTTTCTCTATATATTTCTTTTAAAATCAAATATAATAAAGATATATGCAGTAAAAAGAGCAGCATTCATTTCTACAATGACTGCAACCCTGGTTTAAAAGACAATGAAACATTTTTGCTCTATACTACTGAGTGAAAAGGCAGCGATCTGGACCATGCTTGAGAAATTCCAAAGGCTTTCAAAAATATCAGAATAACTTGTAAACTAATTCTGCATGTGCTAATTACATAACACAACCTTGCAAACAAGTGCACAAAAGTAAGTCTTAATTTCCCAACCATTTTACTCTTCCTCATAGTGGCAGCTTGGGAGTTAAAGCAATGAAATAATCCTATCCTTTTCATCCAGCAAGTATTTTATGTAGCTAAGTGACCAGCTTTATACCCCACGCAAGGTACCTTTCCTAAGCCAGGGAAGAGTGACCTTGAATGTTATTGACATCTCCTTAACAGTGTAAAACAAGAAAAGGAGGAGGGCAAAAGGGTGACCTGTAAGGGAGAAGAGTAACAACAGGATAGCTGTAGCAAGTTTAGTCATTGCAGTCTGCTTAGCATAGCTGTTGGAGGTAGGGATGAAATATGGCTAAGTGAAAATAGCATATTTAACATACAATCAACCTCCCCAACAATTCCAAAGCCAATGGAATTGGCTTTTAAATAATTGTTTAATAACTCTTGTTAAATAATATTTTAACACTAGCAGTACATTCCCCACCATTCTCTATACATCTAAGTCATGTTTAATCACGATCACCAAAGACCAGTCAGTGCAGGGACTGTGAAAAAGCCCATGTTACCTGTCCTTTTCCACAGTGACAGGAGTAGGATAGGACTGGTTGCTTTTATTGCCAGTGCCCAACTGCCCATAAGAATTGGCACCCCAAGCATACACTTGGCCTTCATCTGTTAATACTAATGTGTGTGCATAGCCACAGGCGACCTGGAAGGAAAAAAAAAAAATCCTCTCAGGCCTGCAAATAGAAGTAAATATTTAGAAGAAAATATTTCACTGCTTCCACAAAGTAGGTTAAGAATCAAATATGAAAAAAAGGAAGAGGCAGCCTACCCATAGAGGCAAGCATTAAGTTAACCAATATCCTTCCAGAACACGTGGGCCAGAACTGCAGTAACATTGCCATGAGTCCCCTGGCGTGCTCTGCTCCAGTTCACTGTAGCTTCAATGCTCACAGATATCAAGGGGTATGAGGGGAATGTAAGAAACAGACATTTGTTTTTTGTTGTTGTTGTTTTGGTTTGGTGTTTTTTTGTTTTGTTTTATTTTTTGAGACAGAGTCTCACTCTGTTACCAGGCTGGAACTGCAGTGGCACAATCCTGGCTCACTGCAACCTCCGCCTCCCGGGTTCAAGCAAGTCTCCTGTCTCAGCTTCCCAAGTGGCTGGGACTACAGGCACACGCCACCACACCTGGCTAATTTTTGTATTTTTAGTAGAGACAGGATTTCACCATGTTGGCCAGAATGGTCTTGATCTCTTGACCTCGTGATCTGTCCACTTGTATTTTTTAATAATTATTTTCTTTTTGATTATAAAAGTAAAACATGTTCAAAATGAAAATTATGTAAGTACTCTGAAGATTTGAGGCTTTTTCTTCTGTTTCTGTATAGACAGATATGCACCTATAGCATCGTTTTTACTGACCATGTTGTATAAGCAGTTCTGTATTTTATTTACCATTACACATAGCACTTTCCCATATCATTAAAAATTCCTTGTATAAATCATCTCCAGCCTACACAGCTGGCATAATTTATCTAATCATAACTCATTATTTGATTAGTAAATTACGTTATACATATTGTTTTTTATTAAAGTTATCATTTTATGTATATCTTCTTAACTAATTCTGTAAGAGACTTACAGGAACTGTTGGTTCCTCAGGGAAATTCCCTAGGAGCAGACATACAGGTCAAAGGGTATGAAGGCTTTTAAGGCTCTTGTACACCCTGCCAAAGCTTCCTCAGGAAATGTTGTAACGATTTATATTCCAAAAGGTGTGTGACAGTGCCCTGGAACAGAAATTGTCTGAACAGCTGCAATTTAACTCAAGGAAAAAGAGATTTAACCTTTCCTTTAATGAAGACATCCAAGCAGCTAAACTTCTCATCCTGCCAAGAAATCTGTTTTTAATACAATGGTATCTTTGCCAGCAAAGGCTTAAAAATACACGCACACAAACTGACAGTGGACGTACCCGCTGGACACGGATGCCTTGCAAAGCTGCCACTCTGCAAGGGGTTGGCTGGTTGCCACTGTTGCCAAGTCCGAGCTGCCCGTTTCCATTGTAACCCCAGACGTAGACCTGAGAGAAAATGAGAGCCTCAATCCTCTCAAGAAACAAGTGGCCACAAGTTGTCTGTTATGTGGGACACACTACACTGGCATGAAACTGATGTGGCAAACAGGATTTTTAAACAAGATGTAAAATAACGACCTTACCTCCCCACTGTCCACTACCGCCATGCAGCACATCTGCCCACATGCTATGGTCACAACTACTTTATTCTGTAAGCAGCCAGTGACTCTTCGAGGGATTGGCTGATTAACTGTTGATCCAGATCCTACCTGCCCAGAGTTATTATAACCCCAGGCAAATACCTGTTTGACAGGAAAGATCAATAAATGAAACATATTAATTTATAGTGTCTTAATTGGACACTGACATGTACTTGTGGCACCAAGTCTTTCCTTTCGAAGTGCTTCATATCCATAAATCCTTACAACACAGGCAGAGAAGTGTTTATAAAACTCATTCGTATGCAATGTACATAATCTTATAAAATTAGGTTATTGGTGTTATCAACACAAACAGTAATAATTACTATTAAATAACACGTAACACAAAAATATCTACTTTCCCCCTGCCATCTTTTCCAGCATTTGGGGACTTTTCTTATTGCACATAACCTCTTTACTATAGCAACAGAGAAGGAACAATGCTTCCTTTTAAATTTTGCAATATGGAAGTCCTTCCTAGATACAGGTAAATGTCACAACATCAACTGTGAATTGCTATCAAAAATAACACTGAATTTGAGGGAGGTAGTTATTTTAATCAAATGAATGTATTTCCAGGACTACTACAGAAGTCTATATAATCTTATTGAAAAAAAACCAATGAGCTTTATGCTGACTATTCTCACCTCTCCGTCAGATGTTAGCACCAAAGAATGGTAAGACCCACAGGCCACTTCAGTGACTTGTTTGTTTGACAAGTTAGTAGAGATATGACAGGGCACTAAACCATGATTAGTTGTCCCATTGCCCAGCTGGCTATAAGCATTGTGGCCCCAGGTAAAGACTTCTCCTTCTGAAAATAAAAAGAAAGACAACCAGCTTTTACAACATCTACTTCATTATATTAAAATATATACAGCACAGCTTCCACAAATGAAACCTAAAAATTCAGGTACAAAAAGCTAATCAACTTCCCCATTCCACCAAAGTCATTCTACAAAAGAATCTATTTGGAAAGTATAAACAGCATTCCACCTCAAAGCAACAAGGTGAAATTTAAATGCATGCAGTTATAATAACTAGAAAATGAGTTTTTAATAAACAGCAGAGACAATGCTGCTAAGAGTAATAGCAAAAGCATTATACTGAAAGTAAAAGATTGTAAGGCCACTTAATTCCCCTGGGCCTTAATTTCCTTATCTTTAAAATAATCACTAAATTATTATTTTAAATCTTTGTTATTATTGTATAGCATAATACACAGAAAAGTTCATAAAACATACATATACAGTTTTATAAATTATAAAGCACACGCCCATGTACTACTGCTTTTGTCAAGAAATATAACCTTATAATCACCCCCAAAAGACCCTCATATATGCATCTTGCAAACAAATTTTTAGTTTTTCCTGTTTTTGAAATTTAAATAAATGGAATCATACAGTATGTACTCCTTTCATCTGTGTTTTCCAGCATGTTGCATCTTTGTATTATATTCTGAATAATGTCTTCTGATCTATCTTCCAGTTTACTAATTTTACTAATTTGCTGTGTTCAAACTACTACAAAATTTGTCCACTGAATTTCCATTTTAATAATCATATTGTTCATTTGGATCTTTTTCAAATCTTCTATAATCCCTGCAGATTATCCTCAAGCACTTTTTAATTTCTTCAAACAATAAATAGAGCTGTCTTATAATGGGTGTCTGATAATTCTAATGCCTGATATTTAGTAATCAGTTCTTGCTGTCTGTTGTTTCTGCTGGTTCCATTCACGGTACCTTATTTCCTTGCATAGCAAGCCCCCTTATCTACAGGAGATACATTCCAAGACCCTCAGTGGATGCTGAAACTATGGACAGTACCAAACTTGAATACACTGTGTTTTTCCCTATAAATATATACATATCATAAAGTTTAATTTGTAAGTTAGGCATAGTAAGAGATTAATAACAATAACTAATAATAAAATAGAAAAGTTATAAAATGTACTGTTCACAATGTCACAGATAGAAGATTTGTTCTTACCATAAATCTTAACAACCTCAGCATGAAAACTCTCCATTTTTCATTTAAAGTGAGAATGTATAATTTCTCTTTGGCATATCCCAATTGCAAGCATCACTACTCGTGCACTTTGGGGCTATTACTAAGTAAAATAAGGGTGACTTGAGCACAAGCACTATGATACCAAGATAGTCAATCTAATAACTGAGACAGCTACTAAGTAACTAATGGGTGGGAGTGTCTACAGTGGAGACGCTGGACAAAGGGATGATTCATGTCCCAGGTGGGATGGAGTAAGACGGTGAAATACCACCCTACTAGGAATGGCACACAATTTAAAACTTATGAATTGTTTCTTTTTGAAATTTTACATTTATAGTTTCAGACCACAGTCAACTGCAGGTAACTGAAACCTGGGAAAGTAGAACCACGGATAAAGGGAGACTACTGCATATCTGGTTATCTCTGACTATGTGCTGCCTATTGCCATTGAACAGTTATTTTGGGTAATTCTCTCCGGCCTAAGATAAAGGTGCCTTCCCCTACGAAGGATTTGCATTAACTTCTATCATGCCCTTAAGACTACTGCCATCCAGTACCTCGAATATATTCAAGGCTTGAGATTTCTTGAACTGTCCAGTCTTAATGTGAATTAAACTACAAATCCATGGCTACCACCTTTCGGGGAGAAGTTTTATTTATTTTCTTTCTTTTTTCCTCCCTGCTTTGCTCAGAGCAAGGAATTTTTCTAGTCAGTCCCTTAGGAAGTGGCTGATCCCTACTACGAATGCCAACTACAGCCATCAGTCACTCTAGTATGAGAATCACAGAATGCTAAGAGTTGGTGGGGGTATGTTGGAGACAAGGTTTGGTCTTTCAATTCATAGATCGGGAACCCAAAGTTCAGACAGACTTGCCAGAGTCCACAGTGAGTTCGGCAGTGTTTACTGGGCTCACGGCATTGTCATTCATACATCTAAAATGCCAGTGATTGCTAGATTCCATCTGCCGCATTGTTTTACATTGGCATTCAGATACATTCACGTTTCATGGTATCCAAAACATAGTCAATTTCACAGGAGGAGCCAGCAACTCTCACCCAATTTTAAAAACGTTCTCAAGGGCAGCTGACTCGTTTCTCAACGAATAAAGCTGAAATTCTACATGGGGTTCCTAGGTTACCTGTTGTTGCAAGGACAATATGTGGACCACTCCCATAGCTGAGGCAGGCTATTTTTTTGCCACTTAAAGAATCCAGTCTCCGAGGTTCAATGGTGCTCTGGACGTCACCTAACCCCAAACAGCCACAGCAGTTTGTGCCAAGCACAAAAATCTATGGGAAAAACCACTGTTAGTTCAAGCGGTTCTATTTCTAACAAACCTATAAATTACATCCAAACAGGAATCACCTTGCTTAAGCAAACTGCTTCTTTATATAATAAATAAAAATCTAATTTCCATGCTTTTTTTTTTTAACCTCTTATTCCTTAGTTCCCCCAAGATCTTCACTTTGGCAAATCCATTTCTAAAAATGTGAGTAGCTGAATTATTTTCTTCAAAATTACCTCATCATTTACTGTAGTGTATAAAACTTCATTGCCAGCACTGCCAAAGACACAAGCCTGACGAATTAACTGCAGTTCTTCCTCAGAACAAAGGGAAAAAATTGGCCACTTTCCCACATCTAACATCTTCAAAGACGACAGAGTAGCCTGTACTGGCTGAAAAGGAAGAAATACATATATTTGAGATAACAAATTAAAAAATGAATTTTCTCTGCCCCTTCAGTTCTGTAGAAGAGGGCGGACACTGGTTTTGGGGGGAACATGCTGCATCTATTTTCCAGAGGCCTCTTGCAGCTGCAGGGATTGCCTCTGCCAGCTGCTTCTGGGCAGCTCACAGCCACCGAGCACCAGAGGCCCAGATGGAACCAGGTCTCCCCTACTCATTGTCATCAAGGACACAGGAATGATCCAAAGCTCAGCTTCTGGAAACTGAATGTTCAGCAAATACCTTAAATATTGGCTATGTCTTAAATGTAGCTGTTGAAACTAGGCTGGTTGTAAAAGCAAGCAAGAGAGATCTGCCATGTCATCTGCTGCCTAAGTCAAGAACAATGCTTGGAAAAGAACAATGCTGAAAGTGACACCAGGGAAATGGTCCAAAGTTTTAGTTCATGGGCAAACTTTACCTGACCTTCAGTTTGAGGAACTGGTGGGTTTCCTCATCCCTCATGCAAGTTTAGGAGTTGGCAGGAAGAAACACCCAGAAAACACGTGTACTTGTTTGTTAAGGCAGCTGTAACAAAGCAGTGACAAGAGAAATGGCTTAAACAATAGAAATTTACTGTCTTACGGCTCTGGAAACTAGATGTCCAAACTCAAAGTATCAGCCAGCTAGTGCCTTCTGAGGGCTATGAGAAAGAGATCTCTTCCAGGCTTCGCTTCTCAGCTTGCAGATCGCTGTCTTCTCCCTCTGTCTGTTCACATAATCTCCCCCAACATCCTGTATATCTCTGCATCTAAATTTCCCCTTTTTATAAGGACATCAGTTATATTGGATTAAGGTCCACCCTAATGACCTCATCTTAACTAACTACATCTGCATTGACTCAATTTCCAAATAAGTTGCACTCTGAGGTACTGGCTGTTAAGACTTCAACATATAAATGTTGCAGGGTCACAATTAACCCCCTAACAGCATACATTAAGATCATGAGTACCTGCACCTCCGTAAGAGCACATTATAAAATTCCTTGAAAAGAGTTTTTACTTATTTGCTACTTTGGAGGCATTTTTTATTGATATACTTTTCAACTTGCAAACATTTGGAAGGTTACAATAAGATACATAAACAGCCAATAATGTCTATCAAATGGCATGTCTGCTATTTCCCACAATATCAACAAACGTACACATGATTTAAAGCAGCAGTGATTTTCTAAGGCCTCTCTTTCCCAACAGCTATTAAATCAACCTTACTGGGAATGTGTTCTGGCATATAGCTGAGTGGACCATCCACTTACCTTCTACAGATTTGAACACCTACTTGTCCTTTCCACCTTAGGAGAGCACAAGTCAGCAACTCTGCTCTTCTCAAGTCCACACTACTAACTTAGAAGCCTCCGCTGTCCTTATTACCATGAATTTCTCTGGGGCCACCTTTATAGACTCCTGAGTACACTTCAGGAGGACAAAGACCGAGTCAGTCTCTTTCACCACCATGTCATCCATCCCTTGAATGGTGCTAACAATGCAATACATACCTTTGTGTTGGTAAAATGAACAAGTAAATGTTTGAATGGCTATGACTCACTTCTTGTTTCACAGCCCTCCTTTCCATCCCATCCTCTGTAACTCCTTCACATGGAAGGCATTCCAAAAGCTGGGCCCCGAATACCTGCTCGCAGCTCCAGAGCTCTCCATTTCTACTTCACCTGAGCCATATCATCAAATACAACTCTGTTACTAAGTCCTCAAACTTTTAAGTTTCCTTCTCATCACAGCCAACAGTCTTAAACTTGTATCCAAAGTAAAGACTGCAGTAAGTAAAGGGGAGCTAGGATGCATGGAGCAGCTGTCCCAATAGCCACTGGACCTAGAGCAGAAACAAGCAGAGCCACCAGCTTTTTTCTTGTAAATAAAGCTTTGCTTTCAGGTTTTTATCTTTTCTGAATAATCTTCATGGCACTATTGAATGCTGTGACTAAAAAGAGCTCTAAAGATCATTTTATAGATGAGAAACCCGAAGAAAGCCCAGAGGGGCACTGCAGTGGGTTGAATGGCTTCCCCCCCAAGTCCAGATCCACCTAGAACTCAGAAGGTGACTTTGGTTGGAAATGCGGTCTTTGCAGATGTAATGGGTTAAGATGGAGTCACAGTGGATTAGAGTGGGCCCTAAGTCCAATGACTAATGTCTTTATAAGGAGACAAGAGGGCACACAGTGACACACAGGGAAGAAGGCCAGGTGACAACAGAGACAGGGACTGCAGTGATGCATCTGGAAGTCAAGGAGCAGCAAGGATTGCTGAGAGCCACCACCAGAAGCTGAGAAGATTCTTCCTGAAAGACATCGAGGGGGCACTGCCCTGATGATGCATTGATTTCAGACTTCTAGCCTCCAGAACTATGAGAAAAGAAATTTTGGTTGCTTGAATTGCAGTCATTTGTTACAGCAGCCCAAAGAAACTAATAGAGAGGCCAAGAAGCTTGTCCCTGCTAATAGCATCACCCTGTGAGTTAGTGGCAGAGCCTGAACCAGGGCCAAGTTGTCCCGATGCCAAATCCAGTCATGTTCCCTCCCATGCCACTTGGATCATGAGACCTTGCCCTCAGAAGGACACCTTCTGTTATCTTTTGGGCAGCACCAACAGTTGGTTCTCCCATTCACTTTTGAAAAAGTGCTATTTCTGCGTTTACTTTAGTTATCAGAGTACTTTGCAAAAAAATTTTAGAGGTAGGAAAATTCACAGGCATTTCCTACAGGACAACCTTAATTTGGAATTTGGAATTTAAAAAAAAATCTCACATATATAAGAGGTTATAGTTATATGCAAGTGTCAAACTATGTCCCTATTTTTATTATATATCTATTTTAGGAACACACAGTGTTCTATGGTGATGCTACATTAATCTAGGAATCCAAGGGTCTTTATTTAAAATTTTTATTTCTTCTCTGTGATACTTGGTTTACTGAAAAAAGAGCTTGCCCGAGGCCATGATAGAGCTAAGAAAGGACTTTTGTTATGTTTGTTTTTAGTCAAGGTTTAAATTGCCCCGCCACCCAATATCATGCAGAAATCTTATTTTCTATGAGGTCTTCATTTTTTATTTTTTTCCTATTTTAAGTCTGTAAATTTCCAAAAGAACAAGGTTTAGGAAGTGGAAGTGGAACAAGTATTTAATGTAGATGTATTAATAATCTAGTTAATAATTGTTATATATTATTTATGATCTTCACAACAATTGTAGGACATAGATATTATTATCCTCGTGTTACCTGTAGGGAAACTGGGGCACAGGGAAACTAAGTCATCTTCCAAGATCACTAGCTTCTCAGTGGGTGAGCCAGATTAAAGCCCAGAGTTCTTTCTACATATCATCTGATCGCTGAGTAAAAGGTTTACGTAAACTGTGATACTGCTGGTAGACCTAGTGTTTGCTTGCATATGCAGCACTTTGGCTGCTCTCAGAGTCCTTAAGGAACAGGGCAATAACACCTACTGTGGGTGGTCTTTCATAAACAGCACAGATGGAAAGATACAATGACTGACTGCTATTTCATTTTTCCCTTGCAAGTAGATTTTTATATTTCATCCTGCCTTGCTATAAAATCAAGTGGTTTTCTGGATGCCTAGAATCAGGCTATAAATTCCAGCCAGCTCTTAAACACCTGTCTACAAATGATTAGATGTAGACTTTCTTCCTGGCCCACCTGTATAAAAACTTATGGTATCCAGCCCATAACTCTACTGGCTACTGGGATTCCAATGTATGTGTTTTCTTTAATGAAACCTCCAGTCTGTAAGTTTTATGAAATGCTGCTACCAGTCAAGAGAATGTGGGATCTGATAGTATGACTAAGATACAAAAATAAGACATGACCATTCCCTTCAAGGAGGTCACAATTTAATGGAAAACAAATAATTACAATATAACCTAAGTACAACAGAGATGTGAATACACTGCTTTTAAATCTCTGGCAGAAGGCTGGCTGTTGGAGGTTGGTCACCAAAGACTCAATTTTTAAGTTTGTTGGGGTAACTATTGCCTAGAGAACCGATGACTAAATTTATAAAATGCATGTATTTGCATTTTTTGAAATACATATTTAATATAGGCTGGGCATCCCTAATTCAAAAATCTAAATCCAAAACCTAAAACTTTTTGAGTACCAATATGATGTTCAAAGGTCCTGCTCAAAGGAAATGTTCATTGGAGCATTTCAGATTTCAGATTTTAGATTTTCAGGTTAGGGATACTCAACTGGTAAGTATAATACAAATATTCCAAAATCCAAAAAAAGAGTATAAAATCCATGCACTTCTGGTCCCAAGCATTTTGGATGAGGATGCTAAACCTGTATCAGTCTCAAGGAATTACAGCATCTTTGTCCACAGAAGCAACAGATATTCTTCTGTCCAGCACACTCATGAAACAATGTAGGATTCACACAATAGTCCCCCGTAAGAGCCTCAATCTATCTGCAGCCATTCTGCATGACAGCAGCTGTCTCTGCAGAAGGACCCAATCAACTCCGTGCCCAACTGTCCAGTAAAAAACTGGCTGAGCAAGAGCTAGGTGTGGACAAGAGAAAAATTTATATGGGGGAAAAAAGCACTACTAAGGAATGATAGTATGGCAGTATGCCTCATCAAGATGGTATCCCTAGAATTCAGTCCTGGTTTGGCACAGGTAACCCTCCTTACTGCAATAACACTATCACAGGAGATAACTAACCCAGGCCAGTTTTCTTCCACTACTTTTCTGGTATCTAGACCACCTCCCCTTCCTTCAAGACCTGGTGTCTGTTTGGGAAATGCTAAGTTGTGAAATTTTAATATTAGCTCAAGGAAAACATAATTAAGGAAATATATCTGCCATAAAAGTAGAGTCCAAATTGCACCTTATTATTCCTCTGAGTGTGTGATACCTGTATAAGTATTCTTCTCCAGCAATATGAATAATGGAGTGTCTAAACATACTTCACTTAATTACAGACAACTATGAAGTTGTTGCAATTGAATTTAAAATACAGCATATTTAAAGAGAATCAGAATTACATGCTAGGCATACCCAGCAAAAAAGATTTAAGAAAAAATGCCAACATCTTACCTTTTGAGTATTTCCTAGCATTATAACACTTTGTATATATTCATTATATATTGTATTCATTATATTATATATATTCATTCATTATATCACTTTGTATATATATTTGTACATGTTCAATCACTATGTAGTAATAATATAATAATTTCACTGCTGATTCTGTGAATCTATTCTTTATTTTATGAAACCTGTTCTTAGGAAAAATTAGGAATTTTTCTTTTAACATTTTGGAAGACTCTCGAGTTCTATACATTACTTTTGTAAAGCACTTTTGGACTTTCCTACAAGGCCTCACAAATGAACACTTAAGTCTGCACATGGTAATGCTATGGTTTAGTTTCAAAAGGTTTGCCACCTTTGCACACTGTGCTGGCTTTGCATAATTATTTATAATTTTATTGAATTTTGACCTGATTTTATTAAATATGTATGGGAAACAGACAAAAGTTAATAGTGACAGTTAATATTAAGTTGTTAATACCAATGAGCAGATATTTTGTAAACTGAACAAAATATCACAAGATGTAAATCAATATGCACGCAGGAAGATGTGAGGCCTTTAACATCAACTGAACACTGAGTGGACTTAAGCTGGATGACTGTCATGTTCAGATGTGATGAAGAAAGAAATTAAAGAATGTCTATGACAAATTGAGAGTATATTAGGCAGTTTATAATTTTTCAAAGTTCTGGGAATGGAATAAACATTGTTCAACTCATAGCCTCTTGCAGGCCAGCACTGTCTGAAAGTAGAGGATGGCCTTCGTGCCTCATCCGTCACTGTCACCATCTCTGGGAGCCCTTTCTCTGCCCTTCAGGTATGTTGGTTCCCTGCTGATCCCTTCAGCATTCTCTATACCCATAACAATTATCTGTTGGCCTCCCAGTGATGACACTGTGAGCCCCTCAGAGATAGATACTATCTCATTGATCTTTCATGAGGTATATTTCATGCGACAGAACACACATGCTCCAAGGGCATGGTTTTTTCTAACCTTGCCACTGTCTCCACAGAAAAGAGGAAGCTCTTCTTCCATACGGACTCAGTTCTGGGCAGTCCCTGAGGAAAAAGTATGTGGTAAAATCAGGATCCCTTATGTTCGATGGAACTAGTCAGGTTAAAATTATTTTACTTCTAACTAACAGAGAAAATAAGCTAAGCTCAAATGCTGTGAAAGGAAGATAAAGGAGTTAAATTTTAGGCATGGGAATGAACAGCTATAAAACACCAAAAATGTTTGAACTATTCTAGAACTACCGGATGGTCTCTTACGGGAATCTTCCTACTGAGGTCTAAAAAAGTAGTCTCAAAATATACATGGTTCCTTAACTATAAAGGAAATGAGTAGAACATTTTCATAGTTGACTTCCTGTGATAAATAAAAATAAATCTTAGACCTTAGTCAACTTTTCTCTGAGATAGGAAAGTTCCAAATCACTGGGAAGAGCAGACATCAATTCTCAGCTCCACAGAAGAATATAAGATTTGCTAAGCTAGAAAAAAAAAAAAAGGAGAAATGAATGAAAATGATGAAAAGGATGAATGAATGTGGCTTTGTTATTCCAGATTTAATGACAAATCTGAAACAACAGCCATCAAATATGTAGCAATATACTGATTGTCCTTACCTTAATCACCATCCCCACACCACCTACTTTCTACCAGGTAGACGTGACAGCAGGAGCAGCCCTAGCAGAAGCTATGCAATATGTCTGGACTGTGGTTCAATCATTATGTAGTTAACTATTTCATCACTAAAAATAAATAAAAATAAAATAGTTTCTGTCCTCCAAAAAGGAATTTAATAAGGCTGAATTTAATGATGTTACTTTTTCTAATTTATGAGGTGGGGTCCTATTTACTTAAACACAATCTATATTTCAGGTACTAACATCAGGGTATTTTATCTGATATTTTCTATAGTAGAGTGAGAACCTCATAATAGACAGGTAAAAACAATAATCAAAATATGGCCATGTCTAAATGGTGTTCCTTATCAACTTGACTATATCAGTAATTTTTTTTCCTCAGCTACAAAAAGACCTCTCAGAATATAAGGAATCAGAATTTATTCAGAATTATTATGACTCAAGATTATGAAAATTAATAGCAA